TCCCTTCCTTGGGTAAATCTGATCATAACCTTGTTCATTTGCAACCCATATATACTACTCTAGTGAAGAGGCAAACTAACTACAAGGCAGGTCAGAAGGTGGTCCCCTGAAGTAGAGCATGAACTAAGGGATTGTTTTGCCACTACTGACTGGAATTTATTGGTTAACTCACATGGGGATGACCTGGAGGGGGCAGTGGGGTGCATGACAGACTATTTGAACTTTTTTATGGACCAGGTGGTACCTGTTAAAACAGTAGTGCTTTGCCAACAACAAATTGTGGATTACTGCTGGAGTGAAGGAAGTTCTTAATAAGAAGAAAAGGGCATTTAGGAGCAAAGATTGGGTGATGCTGAGGGAGGTACAAAAAGAACTGAGAATCTGCCTGAAGGAAGCTAAGGAGGCACATAGCAAAAAGCTTGAGAAGAAGCTGGAGGATAATAACATGCGTGAAGTCTGGACTGGCATGAAAACTATTACTGGTTGCAGCAGCAGGGGAAGGGTGGGCTGTATGGACCTCCAGAGAGCTGAGGATCTGAACTCATTTTTTAATCGGTTCAGTCCCCCAGTGACAAGCTGCTCACCCCCACCGGCCTCCCCTGATCATGTACATACTGTTCCTCTTCAAGACGCCTTTCTTCCATTCTTGGAGGTGCCAGCCACTCCCATCTTAACTCCTCCATCCATCACGGTGGACCAGGTGACCAGGGAGCTACGACATTTCCATTCGAAGAAGGCTGCAGGTCTGGACCAGTCAGCCCGAGTCTCTTGAAAGCCTGTGCTGAGGAGCTGGGTGAACCCTTACAGCAGGTCTTCCACTTGAGTCTGAGGCTGGGGAGAGTTCCTTCACTGTGGAAAACATCCTGCATCGTTCCAGTTCCAAAGAAGACACAACCCCGGGAGCTTAACGACTATAGGCCAGTTGCACTCACATCACATGTGATGAAAACACTGGAGCGACTCGTCCTTCAGCTTGTTCATCCTCAAGTGTTGGTGGTGAGAGACCCCCTTCAATTTGCTTACAAGGAGAAGATGGGTGTTGAGGATGCTGTTATGTACCTCTTACATCGTGCCCTCACATACCTTGATGTGGGTGGGTGTATGGTGAGGATGCTATTCCTTGACTTCTCCAGTGCTTTTAATACAATTGATCCCAGCCTTCTTCAGGAAAAACTGAACACCATGTCTGTGGACGCCCACCTTGTGCGCTGGATATCGGACTATCTGAACAACAGGCTCCAGTTTGTCCAAGTTGGGGGTTGTAGGTCCTCAACATTGATCAGCAGTACTGGAGCACCTCAGGGTACAGTGCTCTCGCCCCTCCTCTTCACTCGCTACACCACTGACTTTCAGTACAACTCTGATACATGCCACATGCAGAAGTTCTCTGATGACACTGCTATTGTGGCATGTATTAGGGAGGGGGAGGAGGGGGAGTACAGGGGCCTGTTGAAGGACTTTGTTGGGTGGTCCCATCAGAACCAACTTTTGCTGAATACCACTAAAACCAAAGAGGTGGTGTTGGATTTCTGCAGAGCTCCACCCTCTTTGCAGCCCATTGTTATTGAAGGATTGGAAATTGGGGTGGTCTTAACCTGTACATATCTGGGTCTACAGCTGGACAACAAGCTGAACTGGACTGCTAATATGGATGCTGTGTACAAGAAGGGGCTGAGCAGAATGTATTTTCTCAGAAGGCTGGCCTCTTTCAGGGTCTGTTCTAAGTTATTGCATATGTTCTACCAATCCATTGTGTCCAGTATACTTTTATTTGGTGTTGTGTGTTGGGGAGGCAGCACTAGGAAGATGGACATCCGAAGGCTGAATGGGCTCCTTAAGAAGGCGGGCTCTGTGGTGGGTCTGGACCTTGACTCTGTGGAGAAGGTGGTGGAGCAGAGGACGCACTCCAAGATCAGGGCGATCATGTCCAATCAGGGCCACCCCTTGTACTCTGTCCTCTCTAACCAGCAAAGTTCATTGAGCTCTAGACTCCGTTCACTGAGGTGTTCTACTGAGAGACTAAAGGACTCGTTTGTCCCTCGTGCCATCAGGCTGTATAATTCAGCCAATCCTGGCAGGAACCAGAGAAGCTAGCTGGTTTTTGTCTCCTAACATAGTTGCTGCTTTATCTCCTCTTGGGTTGCTTGTTTAATTATCGTCTATCATTTTTAATTCTAGGTTTTTATTATTTATCATTATATATTTTTTTATTCTGGTGTGTTTTTATCTTGTCGTTTGTGTGTATGAGAGCTACAGATCGCCATGTAATTTCCTTCGGGATCAATAAAGTATCTATCTATCTATCTATCTATCTATCTATCTATCTATCTATCTATAATTCTTGCATGAAAGGCAGTAGTACATTTATTTAAATAATGCTGGGACTGTCATCTCTAAGAAATAATGTATGATGCTTTATTTTAAAGTGTGCAATTTGCTGTACTAAAGGTCTACAGAATCACAGATCATTGGCACAGACACTTTTTTGTTGAATAGAATTATAAAATATATTTGCATATGTTGCACACATGTAGTTATATGAATATTTGTTTGACTAACAAAACTTCAAGGAGCTACAGTATACTATCATTTTAAAGAAATTTGTAAATATTTAACATAAAATACATATGAGGTGCAGTGACAGGCTGATAAGTTACAATAATAGAAGATGAAGCAGCTGATAAATCTGTTGAAGTTAAGGAAACAAGAAACAGAATGACTGTGAAAGTACAATTAAAATTACCTGCTGGACTGGTGGTTGTAACTGTGGTTTGAGCTAAAAAAATTAAATAAAAGCATAATTAAAAATGGTTTGAAAAAAAAAAAATCAAAGTTTCTGTGCAAGAAAGCTTGTGACAAAGTAATGACATAAGTTCCCAACATGACTGAATACATCTCTGTGAGGCTTTGATATGGAAAACACTTCACTCTGTTTAAAGGTCCACATATAAAAGTATGTTTTTGTACCTTATATTCTACATGAAATTTTTTTTCTTGAAGTTCACGTGTTACAAGGTTCTTAAATAAAACTGTATACATTGTATTAAAACATCGCAAGATATTTTTAAAAAATTTTTCTTTGAGGTCTGTAGTATTCATAACTTGTTTTTGTCCAGTCATTTTAATACGGCTGAACTAAATTAATTGTACATGCCCAATAATTTTAAAATACATTAAGTTCTCACACTTCAAATCAGTCATACCCGGTCCCCCACATCACTGATCTAGTTGTGAACTTTTTACAAAATTTTTTTTATTTTAAAAGCAACAAGCTGGTGCTTTGCACAAATTTCTCAAAGTTTAGGACTTGTACTTTTTCTTACGAGAACATGTATGCTACTTTACCGTCAAATAATGAACTTGTGAAAAAAAATAAAAAAACAAAGTCGGAAAATCCTTTTTGTTGCTACTAGGCACAGCCAGTATGGGAAAAGTTTTTTACTCAAATATTCCAGATTAAAATTTACTTAAACAAAACATAACTCATGTTTAAAATGCAACATTTTGCCTTTACAACTACGCAAATTTAGTCATGTATTTTAAATGACTAGTGTTTCTTCAAACATTTTAATGATCTTTTGTACCAGTTTTAGATGGGTAGATTAAATGTAAGGTAGGTAAATAGATAAGCATTTTTTTTTACTCACCATCATAGTAATGTAGCACCCTGAATAAGACAAAAAGGTGAAGTGCAAAACCACCCATTTCTATGCTACTGTCGAACGCAGCTAGTGATTCAAGATTCACTGTATGAGCAGCCTTGTGTTTGCAAAAACTCAACATTCCAGTTTTACTGGTTTTAATTTTAAGGTTTTAAAACGCAAAGCTGATCATAAATGCATTAACAGCATTTGCTCAGCACTGCTGGCAAACTGCCATGCTTAAGATTATTGTGCCAATTTAAAAATTGCGTGTCGATTAGTCACATTAATATCTCTGAACTTTGAGTTTAAGAACTCTGCTACACTGAAGTGAAATTTGACCTGCAGGTAGAGGGGCAGTTAAAACAGGCAGGTCACCGCTGCCAGTTTATCCTCGTCCGATGAGAACAATGCATTTTTTTTATTCAGCAATGTTTTCTTTTAACAGCATAAGCTGCAAAGTTGTTACATAGACAAGTTTATGGAGGTACCCATTCAGAACATCAACACACCAGAGAAGCAATACATGACACGATTTATGTTAATGTGGTTGGGCCCTTGGCTGTTTATCTTTGTCCCATTGCATCATCTGTACAATAGGTCGGTCCATCAATATATTAATCTGTCTCACTAGTTGGAGATATGAATCCATTAACTGTTATAAATTTGGTAAAAAAAAAAAAAAAAAATAAAAAAAAAAAAAAATTGAGCTCAACGTGAATCTTGTGAACCTTGAATACTGCTCGTTTTATATTGTATTAAGCCACAACTCCACTGTATTTAAACTTGCCAAAAAAAAAAAAAAAAAGTTTAAAGTAGCGGCACAATTGATTAGGTTTTAGAAAGTATTTTTCTTCAAGTAAAGAAGCATTTAAACTTGCAAAGTGGGGTGTCCCAAGGGCTTGGACATACTGCTTGAATGAGCAAGTCCAATGAAAGGAATTTAAGAACAGTTACATTTGTGAAAACAGTCTGGTTTACAACACACTAAAGTTAACAGCACATTTTTTTATTTATTTATTTAATTCAGCTTTAGATACATTTGCAATCAACATGTTTATCTTGAATTTATTGCAACAATATTTTGCACTTTGGAATAAATAGCAAATGCGTACAAAAAGGGAGATTTTACATAGACAATGCTGTCAAAATTGTAAAATATGGGTTGAGATTTACATTTTCCCCAAGGAGATAGTTTGTCGTCAGGTGGTTTTCGTACAGCTTTAGATGCTAAAGTTTTCAAGATGAGCAAGTTGCCATAGTTAAAATATGGCTGTTGGTCATGGAGTTTAAATACAAATGTAACAAGTTGTCAGAAAGTCCATCTATTGTCAGATTTCATTTTTACATCCATCCAGCTCAAACTTGCCAGCTTTCTCCAAACTCTTTAGTGTTCTGTGCCATACTGCCATTTGATTTGACCTTGTCATTTGATTTTTGGCCATCAAAGTTTCCACACAAGCCCTTCACTCTCCTTTTATACAAGTTTGGAAGAATGATTACTGCAAGAGAGAGAAAAAAAAAGCCACATTATACAATTGCTGCTGAAAGCAGCTAATAACATTATGGGCTGAAGATTCATTACCTGCTTTGCAATGCCCACTGAACTCCACTGTAAGGCCAAAGTCGGTCTTCAGGTAGATGTGGGAATGTCGTTCATAGATGTTCAGGCCGGGAACAGGCGAGACTGGAGTTTCAGCTTCTTGTCTATTCACCTGCAGGAAGAAAAATGACAAATCATTATCAAAATGAAGAATTATAACCAGCGTGTCTTGATGAAAGATTGCCATCTAGTCGCTTGCCAGGGTATTTGGTTTCAACTTCAGTGAGCCCTGACATTTAGTTTAATGTTCAAAAGTTTAAATTAGTTCCAATATATACACTTCTTTACAATCAAGAAACCCACCAGTGAAATTTGGTCAAATTAAAAGTATAACACTTAAAGACACCAGTTCAGTAAGGCATTATGTTCAGATTTACATATTGGATATTTTAGTAGTCACTACTCAAAACACGACCAGCATGAGTTGGCCTGACATCTAACATTTTGCATTTATGACTAGTGAGAAAGTTAACTTCATATTAAAATTTATTATTCAAGTGCTTTTCAAAGTATGCAAGCAAGCAGAGCATTTAACAAAACTAAACTGAAGCAGTGTTCGAAGGCTTGCGATACTTACAAACACCTTGAGCTTTGGCTTTAGTTCCACAGCGATATTGTACACCTTAATTTTAAGCTCCAATCTTTTTGGCACATCTTCATTGCTTTCACTGTCTTCATTGTCACTACTGCCTTCTTCCTCACTGCCTTCTTCCTCATTGCTTTTTCCATTGTTGCATACATTGGAGCCTTCTATGTAAATTTCAGGAAGGTTACTTGGCAAATTTTTGGTCTGGACCAGCACATAGAGATGTTTCCCTTCAAAGTTGTGCTTCATATCATCAAATGTCTTGTACTTTGAGTCACCCCCAAGTTTGCACTCACTGAAACCTGTGAAACAAGTTGGAAACTTTAGCTACAACAAGTCCAGTAAAAACAAACAAATAAATGTTTAGTACCTGTAGATGTGCAATAATACTGGCCCATCAGATTTGGAATGCAAACATCTTTGTCGTCACAACCTTCTTCATCACAGTAAACTTTTCCCTTCCCATCATCTTTGTCACATTCACATTTTTTGGCACAGTGATTGGTGTACCACATATCATTGAACTTAAAAAAATAAACAAACAAACAAAATAGTTGTCATCTTTGCAAAAAGGCAGCAAGCATTACCTTAATTTTAAACTACTCACGTGATGGACAGTGCCATTGTCCAAGCAGCCACACTCTTTTAGAGGTACACACACCCTTCCTTTCTTTACAAAGCCATTGTCACATACACAACCAGCAGTACAGCTTTTGACTTTGCACTGTGGCGGACCATCCAGGTGGCTACAGGTTGGGCTGCATGCAGGCATGCAAGTGGTGTAATGGCTATTTTTAGCGCAAGAAGGTGCTGGAGAAACAAATCCATATGTATTGACTAATCAGCACAATAGATTTTATTTAAAAATATGAACCAACTTACTTGGAACAAGTGTTACTTGTTGTGAAATTGTTGGCTGTTGAGTTGCATTTTTAGCTGGACGTAAAGGCTGTGTTTGATACTCTGGTTTAGAGGTGGTATGAAATTGTTCAGTTGTCTGTGGCAGAGACCCATTCGTAGATGCCGGTCGACCTGTGGTTGGGG